AGCCCGATCGAAGCAGTAGGGTTATTACTGTCAAGGACTTCAAAAAACACAAACATTAAGGGGTAATCGATGCTGTGCAAATTTGGTCCGAGGATTTTGAACAACAATGTTATTCCGCACATGTAATTCGTGGTTCAAAGATTTAGGGTCTGTAATTCTACGCTACCTGAGTGACTTATTACGCCAAGATTGAAGAATCCAAATTTCAAAAGTTCCGACCTATATTTTACCTTTCAAATGAGTCCACGAATCTGAAGGGTTGTGAAGCCCGCGGCGCGTCTCTCAAAATGGACCCGTAGTGGGCGCGCACTTCAGCCCTGGCCAAAATTTGGATTCAGAAAAAAACCAAGCGGATATCGAAAGGGCCGCGAAAAATAACAGCGAGGAGACCACTATTCAACAAAAAATGCAACTTTTGGAGTACAATTGCATATAATTGTGGAATTAACAGTTACTATGCAGCGTCACACTTATGTGGAAACAGAAAGCTTGCGGGTTTCGAATCTGCTCGACTTTTGTACAAAATCGCCCTTGAAAGGAGCTATAGCCGTTGAAATAGTGCCAATGCAGCGAAAAAGTACCTTTCGGCGGTACTCGGGCAAAAATCCTCAACGGAGCCATTTTTGACATTCTGAACGAATCAAGCTAGGAAAATGTTGAATAGAACAAATCTTCTAGTTTACAATGCTATATAACTTTTCAGGTTTGATGAATTTGAACGGAGTTATGGCTTTAGAAAGTGTAAAAACTCGCACTCATCACAAATTTTCCTCGTTAATTTTGCAAAATCCTCAACGTGGCCATTTTTGAATACTGGACGTATAAGCTGCTTTAGTAACCGTTTGATAGAGCAAATCTTCTAGTTTTGTCTGCCATATTAACTTTTCAGATTTGACGAATTTGAAGGGAGTTATGGCTTTGGAAAGTGTAAAAACTCGCACTCATCAGAATTTTCCTCGTTAATCATCCTAAACTGTTTATTCCGCACTAGTCTTTTTCCAACGCTGGCTAGAAAGCGCTTGTAAGAAAACTAAGAAAACTTCCAAATCTGCTTTCAGATTGAAAATTCGTCAATTTGAAGAAAGTTATAATCATTTGAATATTTGTTCAAATTTCAATAGTAAATAATAGCTGCTCCACGGTCAACGCCAAAGACCAATCAACTGGCTCATATTTGTCGGGGATTGCTTGAATGGTGGAGAATGGCCAACAAGGTTGATTTTAGAGTAAGGTTTTCGGGGCGAATTAAACAAGTTTTTCATACTTCGGCTTGTGAAGAGCACCGTTTCACGAACTTCTACCACTTCACCTAATAAACTCCAGGACTTTACTGTGGCTGCTCAATCTACAGGGTGTCCCATAAATATTGCACCACATTTTGAATTCGAACTATAGGCGTCTATGGTTTTTCTTCCAAGGTT